CAATTGCTTTCGTGCCGTATCGAACCGTCGCTCGATTTGCGCTGGAATACCCCGTCACGCACAGACCAATGTCGTTGCGATAATCGTACGTTCGCAATACCAACCAACCGAATTTCGGCGATCGAAAGAACGGATTTTCGTTTGCGCATGTGCAGTGATTTTTTTTTTTGCACGAAAACGCCACAAATTCGTCGATTTTCGTTCGATTCAAGAAAAGTTTCCCGGCCTGACAACAATAACAAATAAAATCGTTGGGTTCCCATCAACTGATCGATTATCATACGAAAGACCATTCACAGATGATTTCCGATAATCGATGGCCACCTTAAAAAGGAGAACTATGAGGTGGGCGCTTTTCACTCACCTCATAGTTCTAGCCGACCTGTGACAATGAGACTGTCACTGGTCGGCTCAGTAGATCGGGAAGTGAGCGAACACATACCGGGTTCGCTCACCTCTCCATCCTGTCACGGCTCTCTGCCAGGACAGGGGAGGGGCTGGATTCCCCCTTCCCCGCTCCGCCAGCGCTGACTGGCGGAACGGACGGGGGAGGGGGAGGGTACAGCTGGCTCTGCCTCTAGATAGGCAGAGCCAGCTGTCACTCACACAGCTGGGCGGATCCCGACATAATTGTCGGGATCCGCTTCAGCGTCTCAGTATACCAGGAGCTGTAGCTCGCAGTATACTGAGCTTTGGGTGACGGGAGGACGCTAGTTTGTGTCCTCCCGTTACCCTTCGGAGAACTATGAGGAAAAGCCCTAACCCCATAGTTCTCCTTTAATACTCTCGGATCCATTGGGATATTGGCTGTGCAAACTCTCATCCTCTATAACTCTTCCTGGGCTCGTGCTTGCACGTCCACCCTCACCAAGTCCTATGGAAGGCTCTGGGATACAACCCGAGCCACTGGTACAAGGGGGACGGTTTGCTACAACCCGTGTACAGTATAGCAAGCACTCAGAGGTGCCGGCATATAGCGGGTTTAATTCTCTGGAGTGGTGTTGCTGCAACATGCAATGGCTGCCCCTCTATTGATCAGGGAGACATGCCCGAGCTGTGATTTCCATGCTGGAGCCCAATATCACGTACACAGAGCTCTAGGTCTGTGGACCTCCAGGCGGCTCTAAAGAACGGAGTGATGTGTGAGTTCATCTCCTCACTTTTATGTCCACCTGACTTCCAAAATTGTATCCAAGGTCTGGGTCAAGCTGGACGCATAATAATACTAATACAAATTGTGGGGTCTACCTCAATCATAAAAAGTGGGTGAGATGCATGAAACGTCTGGATGAAATTTAGCCAAATGGAAAAATAAATCCAACCAGACTGGCAGTGACCGCACAGGGCCCAATCCGGATCTGACACTTGTGCTGTTTCGGGGTACCCTGGTAGGTGATCAATCACTGCCCGACAATGTTTGCCCAGCGTTCAATACATCGGTCGTGGATCACATGTAGGTTTTAACAAAACAAAACAAGCAGCGTCCATCATAATTCAGATATTGAAGTCACAGTCTACAATCATCCGCACATATTCACAATGGTAACCCAAAAATACAAGTTCAACATATTTCAAACAATCTTAATATCAAGTCAACTCTTTGGAGTTTGGAATCAGAACCCCGGTCAGGTTTTTATTGCCGTGTCCCCCAACTGGGGCAGGGAAGGGGGAGGGGGGCTGGAAGGATCGCATTGTATTTTGTCCTGGTGACCAGACAAAGAAAAACTAAAATTTGACAGTTGTCACAAGAGTAAGACCTGCAGATAAATCTTCCGGTGGGGACACCTGTCCTGGAGGAGAATACTATTCACATTGCAGAGGTTTGCTCATCACTTCCTGTTGTGCCTTTGGGACAGAAGGTGAAGGGGTATGTAAACCCCAATAATTAAAGTGACACTAAACTCAGGAGTGAAAACTTAAAAATGCATTCAAGTCCCTGAACTATGAACAGAAATGTATCTTATTTGTGTGTCACTCGGCTGTAGATCCTCCAATCATCTCTGAATTGGTGCTGACACTGTCCTTCCTTCTGGAGGGGGGCTACGTCTGTTCCCCATGGTCCCTGTGTGTGTTGTAAAGTAGTCACCGCTCCAAGCTCACTACCGGGATGGACTACAATCTCAGGTTTAGTTTACTAATTTGTATTGAGATTGTAGTCCATCCCGGGAGTGAGCTTGGAGCGGTGACTACTTTACCACACACACAGGGACCATGGGGAACACAAGTAGTCACCCTCCAGAAGGAAGTTATCAGCTACATTGTTTCTACTCATTTCTAAAGAATACAGAACCTCACCCATCTAAGAAGAGGGCAAAAAGTGACGATCATGGCTACCTGTATAGACGCAATGGAGTATAGAAGTGTTGTCACCATAGGACAGGAAATGTGTTACTGGCACGATCAATGAAAATAAAAGAGAAATGCAGCCGTCACATCCAAGGCATGTCAGCTACAATATATTACGTTTTTGTTTTCCATACACTGAAAAGGGAAAATCTCAAATGGGACAACAACAGGCTGCAAGAAGAAAAAACCTGTCAGGGGTTGCAGCCTTTTCCTAATCCAAAAAAAAAAAGAAAACATTTACCTACACATAAGTGGACCGATAATGGCAAACGGAAGCTCTGCTTTTTTTTTGCTTGCTCCCTGCCCACCAAACACAAATGGTTGTAAACTAACCCATGTGTGCGTCCCTTCGTCCCCCCTGACACTTCCGGAGGGCACGGGCGACATAACCGTGCCTCCCAGCAGACCTGGAAGCTTGAAATCCTTCAAGAAGACACTCCAGCCCTTTGCAAGAGGGCGCTGTTGCAGGATTTCAAGTAGAGCTGCAACAACTAACCGATTATGGGAATAGTTGGCAACTATTGTCATCATCGATTAGTTGGTTGGGGGAAGAGAGACAGACAGACAGACAGAGAGACAGACAGACAGAGAGACAGACAGACAGAGAGACAGACAGACAGAGAGACAGACAGACAGACAGACAGAGAGAGAGACAGACAGACAGAGAGAGAGACAGACAGACAGAGAGAGACAGACAGACAGACAGAGAGAGAGAGACAGACAGACAGAGAGAGAGAGACAGACAGACAGA